TTATTTATTTATTTATTTATTTATTTATTTTTATGTGGTGCTGAGGATTGAACCTAGTGCTTCACACATGTGAGGTGAGTGCTCTACCACTGAGCCACAACCCCAGCCCCTCCTGGTTCTTTTTATGATTGATTTTAGGCCTTTTGGTTATCTTATGAGACTCTGGGAGTTAAATTTTCTGGCTAGTAGAACTTTTTTCTTCTTCTTGGTACTAGAAATTGAACCCTGGGGCACTTAACCACTGGGCTATATCCCCAGACCTTTTCAATTTTATTTAGAGTCAGGGAGGGTCTCACTGAGTTGCTTAGCACCTTGCTTTTTTGCTGAAGCTGGCTTTGAACTCGTGATCCTCCTACCTCAGCCTCCTGAGCAGCTGGGATTACAGGCATGTGCCACTGCTCCCGGATAGAACTCTTTTGATACTGTTCTGCCTATTTACTGCTAAATAGAGGAGAGGAAGACTGAAGAGGATAGAAGTCCAAATTCCTTACTTGGCCTCTGTTGACACACTTCATATACATGGATGAAATCATAAGTAAAATTACTCACAGAAACCTTCAATATTAGATTAAAACTTATATTCTTAACTGGATTAAGGACATTGAGTGTGTTTGTTGCTTCTTTTGACAATTTAGGGCTAGACTTTATGGTTTGTTTAATTGTGAAGTGATAATCAAGGATATAAAAGCATTTTTAAAGTTTTTGATTCATACCTCTAGATTGCTTTTAGAATAGCATAAAATAATATTTTCACCTTACCTTGTCAATGTTAGCTAGTTTGTTAACAAAGGAAAATATAATACTCCTCCTAGATTTTCTCACATCTGAAAATTATGCATAAAAACAAGGTGTATTATATATCTTGGATTTAAGAAAGTATCTCTAAAGATTTTCAGGCCATTATTTCTCTTCTGTAGTACTTCAGGATGGAGCTGATGCATGCTGAGAAACTGAGGAAGGAAAAACAAGAATTTGAAAAGGCTGACATGGATATGGTGAGATCCTATTGTATTGCCACTGAGTCTGCTTAAGAGATAGAACACTTGGAATATATTTTTCTTTCTAATTTAATGTTATTATATTTTAAAACTTGAAGATGAATGAAAAGTTGGTTTAATTAAATGGGGTTAGTAATAAAAGAAATAAGATTTTCTGCTTTAAAGATAGATATTTAGGGGCTGGGATTGTGGCTCAGCGGTAGAGCGCTCGCCTAACACGGACAGGACCCGGATTCCATCCTCAGCACCACATAAAATAAATAAATAACGGCATTGTTTTGTGTAAAAATAAAATAAAATAAAGATAGATATTTAGAGTAATTGAAGTTATAACTGATGTTATGGTCAAATGCTGTTCTTTAATGCTGTATGATTTCAGTAAGTGGTATATTAATAGGTTCAAGAAGCCTGAGAAAGATTGTGGAATGCGAGGTTTCTAGTTTCTTTTTTCTTTTTTTTTATGGTAGGTACTGGGGATTGAATTCAGGAGTGTACTACCACTCAGTGTACTACCACTTCTTAATTTTTATATTGATCCAAGGTCTAGCCAAGTTGCAGAGGCCAGCCTTGAACTTGTAGTCTTCCTGCCTCAACCTCCTGAGTAGCTGGGAATACAGTCATGTGCCACCATGCCTACTTCTTCTTTTTTTTTTTTTTGCATTATAATTCTTAATACACATATATACCACAATTTTTCATATCGCTGTTTGTATATAAGGTATGTTGACACCAAATTCAAATCTTTACGTGTATTTTGTATGATAATGACTATCACATTCCACCATCCTTGCTAATCCCCTTCCCCCTCCCTTTCCCTCCCGCCCCTCTTCCCTATCTAGAAATAATCTTCCCATGTTCTCCCTCCCTACCCCTTATATCAGAGAAAACATTCGACATTTGTTTTTTGGGGATTGGCTAACTTCACTTAGCGTTATCTTCTGTAACACCATCCAT